TTGTGTTTGTTGTTGCCCATCCCTCAGTGTGTTACTGCTTGGTGACGTCCCTACCATTCAGGATCTACGATCTGTTGCCCTGTGTCCTTCAATGAACGGGAGAGAAAATAGGATTTTTGTACTCACCGTAAAATCCTTTTCTCTCCGTTCATTGAAGGACACAGGCCCCGCCCTCTTTTATGGGGTGTACACTCCTAACTGCTTGTTACTTACTGGAGACTTGTCAGCAAGTGAGGGGTTGGGCCACCAGCAGGGGCCGCCCCTAGGCTGTCTTGTCTTTTTAGTTATGTGCCTAGCGTCCTACTCCTGCAGGTGGCGATATACCCTACCATTCAGGATCTACGATCTGTTGCCCTGTGTCCTTCAATGAACGGAGAGAAAAGGATTTTACGGTGAGTACAAAAATCCTATTTTTTGAGTTATGGGTTTATAAGCCTTTGGGAGTTTTATCTTACCAAAAATAAAGCTCCCAATCTAGAGGGGATACCTGAAATTTTAATTGTATTAGTTTAAACTTTTGAGAAAATCTGTAAACCAAAATGGCTGCTATAACAATTCTAGAGTATGTGGACTCCAGACGATCACAACGATATGAGCTTTTTGAACATCGTATTCCAAGATTCATGGACATTTTTTGGGACCTTACCTACCCTCCCAATCATGTTTGTGGGAAAACAGCCAAAGCAGCATTTGTGAGTGTAGGGACTGAATTTGGATAAGAAGACCTGGCTCATAATTGGTGTTCCAGTTTATCCTAAAGGTGTTCAGTAGAGTTGGTCAGTTATTCCATACTAATCTTGTTAAACTATGTCTTTATGGACTTGCCTTTGTGCATAGTCATGCTGGAATAGAAAAAGGCCTTCCCCACACTTTTGCCACAGGGTTGGAAGCCCACAATTGTCTCAAATGTAAAACGTATGTTGTAGCATTAACAGTACCTCCCATTGGAAGCGCTCATCTCTATAATTAATTTAAGGGGTGTCCACATACTTTTTACGCTATACTGTACTATATATACTGATGTTTACAGCAGAATGTATTACTTTTGCAACTCATTTCACATCTGAGTGTAGATTTGCTTTGCTGTAAGTTATTTCAGTTTTTGTAACTTATTGCCATGTTTAATCATCCATTTTTTTCAATTACAGGCTGCTGTTGAAGTATTTGGTCTCGTGCAGCAGTTGCTCCCATCAGTCGCCATTTTGAACCAAAAATATGCCCCTCCCCTCTTTAATCCAAACCAATCAACTGACAGCACAACTGGCAATCAGCCTGAGCAGCTCTCTGCATGTACTACCTCCAGTCACTATGCTGTGGTGGAAAGTGAGCACCCGTACAAGGCAGCCAGTGTGATGCAGTATAAGGTATGGGCTTGCTTGTTTTCTACATCACTGATGAAGCTTAATACAAAACCTTTATGAAGGGTGCTTTTCCTATTGTGGCTCTCTTTACAAAATTAACAAGACTTCATTGTCTGCTCTTCAGGTTTCTCTCCCTGAATGTGTGAGGTGGATATCTGTGGAATTTGACCCTCAGTGTGGCACTGCGCAGCCAGAAGATGTTTTGCGTCTGTTGATCCCAGGCCGGAATGCACATATCTCAGGTTTTGGACCAAAGCTTCCTATTCATGAAAGCCTTAACTCCTGGGTTGAGCTCAAGAAGTTTTCTGGCTCCTCTGGGTGGCCAACTGCTGTCTTAATATTACCAGGTAAATGCTAGTTTGTTCTTCATGCTTCCTTAATTGTTTTGACAAGTGTGGCCGTAGACCACAATTGCTAACCTAAACTTTTTTTAATGTTGCAGTCAGGTGGTGTCAGTTTTGCCATTGTTCTGGTTCCCCGAGTAGATATGATTTTTCTTTTAAAATCTAGTTGTATTCATATATTTATTGCAGTCATTGTTGTAGCGCAGGGAGTTACTGCTGTCAAGGCGCTTCCAATATAAGGACCCCATCACACATATAATTTAGATGATTAACCTACCTGCATGTCTCTGGAGTGTGAGAGGTAACTGGGAGTACATTAAGGAAACCCATGCAAGCACAGGAAGAACATGCAAACTCCATGTAGATAGTATCTTGGCCAGGATTCAAACCGAGGACCCGAGTGCTGCAAGGCATAAGTGTTAACCACTAAGCCATTATAGTTAAGGTAACCAAAGGTTGCATTCCCGTATTGTAGACTCTACCTGTTGTTGGTGAGTGGTCATATATGTAAGCATTGTTTGCAATAAATGGTCAGTTCGGAATAAGGGTGGACGAATTTAATTTGAAATTCGGGAGCCAATAGGAATTTGGAAGCCAGCTCCATTGACAACAACTAGAGAAAACCTCAAAAGTTAGGCACCAGCTGTCATTTTTATGGTGCATTAGCTACCTTGCTTCTGGGATTTGTCCAGCCCTGGTTTAGAAACATACATAGCAGTGTAAAAGTATTGTTAAACTGTGCTCTCTTTATAATGAAATTAGGGATGCACCAATACCGGTTTTTCAGTATCGAGTACAAGTACCAATATTTTTATTTTTTTTACCGGGAGTCCCATTAAGGAAGCCGGGCGGCTTGTAGTGACTCACCGACTGGCTTCCTGATTAGCCGGGAAGCTGACTCCATGCTCCCTTGCCACCAGGTGAGGAGGAAGCATGGAGGCGTTTTTCTGGCTACCCAGGAAGCAGGGGGGCGGGTAATGACTTGCCAACCGGTTTCCTGATTGGTCTGGAAGCTAACCAATCAGGGAGGCGGGTTATTACACGCAATCTGGCTTCCTGATTGGCAGGGAAGCTGACTCCATGCTCACTCCATGCAGCAGATCACCAAGCTTCCCGGCCAATCAGAAAGCTGGGGAGCGAGTCATTATACGGCCCCCGGCTTTCAGGAAGCCGGACGGCGTTTTTGGGTCGCGACCCACGAGTTGAGAACCACTGGTCTAGACAGATATGTGCCTTTTATATTTTCTCCTTTGCCAAGCCTGATGTCTCTATTCTCTTCTTTTGGAAGTCCTTAAGAGTGCTGTTGTCAAATATCCATTTTTGTGTTTGTTTTACTCCTTGCAGGCAATGAGGCTATGTTTTCACTCGAAACTGCATCAGACTATGTTAAAGATGAAAAGGCTTCTTTTTATGGCTTCAAGTGTTTTGCCATTGGTTATGAATTTAGCGCAGGACTTGATGAGGTTTGTGGGTTTTTTTTTTCGTTTTCAAGTATAAATTGTAAAAAAAAAAAAAAAACATGATAGCCTGAAGCAGAAGTATCGTTTGCTTTGTAAAATTCCAGTTGCTGAAAGTATTGTGCACATTACTCCAACAGATGTTACTAATGTTTTTGCTGAAATATTTCTTGAGATTTTGTTAAAAAAATGTTTGAGTGTTTAAATACCTCGATGTTTCTTAGGTCTACTCTTTGCTTTATTTACCATTTGCACTTTGTCATGCATTCTAAGGCACCTTTCACATGAGCAGTCCCATCAGGTTCGCCTGTCAGTTTTTCAGCCGGACCCAATCGGGCACTCTATGGAAGTCTATGGACAGCCGGGTTTAAACGGACGATTGTCTGTTTACACCTGGTTAGCTCCGGCTCGGTCTGGTAAAACAGACGGATCATTGATCCGTTTCGATGGACCGGGAGTAATCTGATGTAAATGGACACGTAGACTTTCATGGGGCCCGGCACTTAGTTTTCTCCTCCGTCGCAAGATGGAGGAAAAACTGTACGGACACAGATGTCACAGTGGTGACATCCGATCCGTGCCGCTCTCATCAGAAGAGGATCTGTTGACGGATCCTCTCCTGATCGGCCAGTGTGAAAGGGGCCTAAGGCTCCATTTACAACAGAGCGGTTGTCCGTGCCTATTTGGCTGTATGAAATACGCGCGAAACCGCTCTAAACCTAAATGGAATATTACTCTTCTTCATCTGGTGTCCTACCTTTCACTTACACTTTTATCAGTTTGTTGTTAAATAACTTTTTTTTTTTTAATAACTCTATTATTTTTTTCTTATCTTGTTTTAGGGGATTATCCAGCTGGAGAAAGAACTTGCCAACCTAGGAGGCATATGTGCTGCCGCTTTAATGAAGAAAGATTTGGCTCTCCCCATTGGTAATACAATATTTGTGGGTTATTCAATTAAATAGATAATTTGTTTGAAAGTTTGGTCCTGATTTGTTCATCAAAAAAAGTATTGTGGAACTCCAGGCCAATACTAGAATACACATATGCGCGTACTGTTGCATCTACATTATTCTTTATTTGATATTCTTGCTATTCAGCTAATATTGATATTCAGGTCATGTCTGTCATGTTGCACAAACGGCAGGTCATAGTTTGTCTCCAACCTACTAACTGGTCAATTAAAGCAGATCTCCAGGAGTTTCAAAAAATTAACCCTTGCAGTGGGGCTACCCCCACCCTGCAAGGGTTAACTGCTCATTTTGGTATAGGGAATGGACTAAAGAAAATACTCACCCGCTCACCTCTCTCCCCCTCCTCCCCGGCTGTGGAATATCCCTCGCCACCCTCACATCTAATGCAAGTGAATGGACCTTGCATAGACGTGGTGATATTATCAGGGCTTAGACCACCGGAGCCCAGGGGGAAAAGAGGCTGCGGGGACCAGTCTAGCAGCCAAGCAGGACCAAGGATCTGGTGAATATATCTTTTTTTTTTAAATTGATTTATTTTCAACCCTAGACCAAAACGAGCGCTTAACCCTTGCAGTGCAGGAAATCTTCTGTTTGCTGTTAGGTAGGACTTTAAATGGTTTAAAAATGCTTGGAAATTCCACTTTAAAGTGTAATTGCACTTTTGCAGTCAAATTTGAGAAGACTCCAATATGCGTTTTGTTTTCCTTTTCACACATCCTACCCAAAAATCATTTTTAAAAACAGTTTTTTTTTTTTACAGTTTAACTGTTTGAAGGCTTTGGTGCTGATTCCAGGCTACACTGATGAGTTTGAAACTGAGACTATATGGTCAGACAGAGCTTCCACTCATTAACACGCAATGCCTGTAAAGGTGCCCATACACTTTACAACCCTCGCAAGACTTTTGTCTTGCGAGGGTTGTAAAGTAATTTAAAAAACGTACGATCTGCCCATCTTGGACAGGTAGATCGTACCTGCCATCATCGCAAGCCCGCCCCCCTGAGGGGCGGGCTTCCGATGATTGCAATGCTGGACGGGCAGTGTGCGCGTGCGCACACCGGCCCGTTCGGCAGTGATCTCTCGATCATGTTAAAAACCAGCAGAAAAGCGTACGATATACAAAAGTCGTGCGACCGTACATTAGAAACATTAGATTTCCCGCGATTCTCGTACGAGAATCGTGCAGTGTATGGGCACCTTTAGCCTTTTACCCTTTGTTAGGACAGACAGTGGTGGAATCTAGTTTACAACTGACAATAAATCTTCCAGCACGGTACAGACAGAGTTAGTTAACCTAATTTCCCACAACCCCCTCAACATTGCATGGGGGGAGCTAGCTAAGATTTTTAAGCAATTAAAAAGTGCTTAAAATTTGAGCAAGTTCTTCTTTTTTTTTAGGTTATGCTATGTGAATGGGAACATGTTACACATATAACATAAATGTTATCCCAATATGACTGCAAAATTGGAAATTCACTTGTTGTAAGAGGGACAAAAGGATGAATACCCATTTCTTTTTTTAGGCTGAAAAAGTCCCATTTAATGAGTAGTCCAATGATGTGTGTTGTGAGTAATTAGTAGTTTTTGTTCTTAGCGTGTCTTTTAGCTTGCAGTACATTTGGAAGAGTAAAGCTAGCCATGCATGTTCTAATCCTATTGTAAAATCTTCTTTTAGATGTACCAAGAACTATGTAGTGCAAGGGCATATCTTATATGAAACAAGCATAGCTTTGGTAGCACTACAGGAGTTTGTACATGTATTGTAGAATCGGATTGTGAGGTGTATGGGCAGCTTAAGATGTTGGATATATAGTTCAATAGTAAAGTAACTTTGCCATTTTCTTTATCAGGTAGTGAATTGGAAGAAGATTTGGAGATTGTTGAAGAGGCTGCATTGCAGGTAAATAACTACAACTATCAAACCTGAGGTGGAAAAGTTTGTTAAGCTAAGAATCCATTTGGTGTTCAAAATTCCATTTTCTAAATGACAGAAAACTAGAATTTGAGCTAGTGACACTTTTTTTGGTCTTACACCAGCCTTGTACACAGTCTTGCTAGACTTCCCCTTTCTGCAATGCTTAGGCCTTCTGACCTGTTGGTAAAATAATATATTCTTAAAATAGTTTTAGAAACTAGACAGGTTTAGTTCTGCAGCAAAGACCACTGTATCAGACACAGTTCCCTTAAATGAACATTCCAGATAAACTAGATTTTTTGCTAAAACAAGTACTAAATGACATCAACTTTGGGAGTGATTTTGTGGTTTTGGACAGTTAACTATCTGATAGCTGTGACAAATAACTACGTTTTATTGGATGATTTCAATTTTCGTGCCTACCCAGTGGGATGTCCCTGGGATGTGTCTTATTAATTATGCTAATGATGCTTTTGCTTTAAAAATCCATGTAGCCTATCTGTTCCTGGTAAAGGAGGTCTGGTATCCCTGCCAGGACAAACCAGACTGCCCTTTGATTCAATTGAATCTTGCCTGAGCAGTTGATTATGATCTCAAGAGTAATATTCAAATCTTTTTAGTCGTTGAAGCATTGGGCAGGGAATGACTTGCACTTTACCACTGTTTGTTAGTTGGGGCAATGTAACGAACATTGCATCTAGCACCATATTGGCAAATAACCCATACCTGTACAGCATGAGTGTGCCGCTCTTACAACCCTCTCAAATTCTTTTGTTCTGCTAAAAAGATTCTGTTGTGATCCTTTGGCTCTGGATAGTTCACCTAGTATTTTTAAATGTTTTACATGGTCAATAGCTAGAGATGAGTCCAAGTAAAAGTTAAAATAAGTCATATTTAGCTGGTGATTAGCTAAGTCATAGTCTCAACCAGTGATATATGTACCTCAGAAAGTTCTTCCGATGAGTTTTAGGGGTACTTTTGCTTCTTGTAGTGAATTCATTGTAGTAGTTTACAGCTAAAATAGAGTATTCTGCTAACAAAAAGTTGGCTATTGTATTAAAGAAGCACTGTATAGAGAGAAAAATGGTCCTTCGCCCATTCGATAGGGACAACCAGTGTACTGTAACTAATCAACCAATCAAAATGTATAAGCATGTGGCAGCTGCTCTTGTTACATATCATATCTCAAATGGATTCACTCTCCCTTCTACACATACAATACACCCAAGATCGTGACTTTTTTGTACTAATACCCTATTAAAATAAAATGGATTTGCTGGAGTGCATGTGTCTCCCTATAGGTGTGCAAAACTCATTCTGGGATTTTAGGAAAAGGCCTTGCTCTGTCTCATTCTCCAACCATACTGGAAGCTCTAGAAGGAAACCTTCCCTTGCAGATTCAAAGCAACGAGCAGTCTTTTCTAGAGGATTTCATCACTTGTGTGCCTGGGTCTAGTGGTGGACGTTTGGCAAGGTCTGTTTTTATACCTATATTAAGAATTTCTATACCTGTAGTACAAATTGGTATATTTTCTGTAGGAATTTTTTCCATGTGAATACAAAGATTGTAGGTCTTCTTTGTGAACACTCCAGTCCCAAATACAATTTAAAAAGCTCACTGAGACAGCTGTTCTTGAACTTGGATTGATTCTCATGCCTGCAGAGGCTCTAAGCAGATTTAATGCTGAGGCTGCTGGCTTGACAGCTAAAGGTCCCAGCACTCAACCTAGTAAATATTTCAACTCCTGAGCTGCTCTGTTGGGGCTCCTTATAGTACAATTTAACCACAATGTTTCCCCATTGTGATTATATCAGACGGCCATCTGACATTAACTGCATTTTCTCTGATTTCTTGGAGCATAGTAGATGCAGTTATTGTCTTTCCCTCTCAGAAGCAGCATACTTTTTTTTTGTAGTGATCTATTTTTTTGCTAATAACCTTAAATGTTGAGATCAATGTTTTAATAATATATGTTGCCATTGAACTGGGTAGGGAGAACCAGCTCTCCATTATGTAGAATGAGAAAAAAAAAAGGAAATGTTACATTTCCCCATCCCTGTTAATTTTGAAATGCATCTTAGTCCAGACTATGGATATTAGTTATTACATATTTTCAGCAAGCAGTAAAATAACTTTAGGACTGGCTACACATCTTTGTGGTAACATACCATGCACATTGTCTTTTTAAAATTGCATCCCAATGCACATTAGCTTATTCAAACACACTGTATTGCACTATATTATGTTGTGGTTTTGTGCATTGCCAAAACAGGTTCTGCATTAGCAACCAAAAATGGGCTGCCTTAAAGGGTTATTAAAACCCTCACAGTTTTTTTGCAGGTATCTACTGCTAGCAAGCAGTAGATATCTGCAAAAACTTAACAAAAAAAACCAAAACCTTTTAAAACAGGTTTTACCTGTGTCTTCGCTGCATGCTCCCGTCCGAACATCTGAAGAGTCTTGGGCGGCAGCAAAGGATCTTGGGGCTGGCGCATGCGCAGTTCAGATGTTCGGCTGGGAGACGAGGAGAGACACAAGGTAAGTCTATGGAGCAGTGTGCACCCGCACAGACTCCGTGGGACATCAGAGGAGTCGACTCTGGATTGGAGACCCGCATCATCGCTGGAGGGACAGCTGAAAGGACAGTAAGAGAAAGAAGATGATCCGATTAAGAGGCATGCTTTAAGGTAAGTCCTTACACTAACATTGGGGAGAGGGAAAAACAAATATCCTTTAATGTCACTTTAATGCAACGCATGTGCGGCTTACCGAAGGATGTCGCACCACAAAGCTGTCAAGCCTGCCTAAAACACCTAGACCGGAACGCAGGCAATGTTTTGCCATGCGTCCGATCACACTGCGGGCGGTAGCTGCTGGAATGCACTGCAATTAATGTGAACAAGCCCGCAGAGATTACTAAGAACATGTAAATACAAAAAAAAAATACAAAATTGCAAATAAAAGCACAGGAAAATCAAGTATTTTAAAAATGTACATGCAGTTTTTTTTGCTCATCCATAAATTATTAACTACACTCTGTGCTGGCCCAGCATCTCCACCCCTTCCTTAACCCCCCTGCATATCCTTTTCTGTAGCTCCTGGGGGAGGAGCGAAGTGGAATACCATAAAGTGTCACATGAATGAAAGTTTTGAGTCTCCTGGGGCTGCTGACATCACATCCAAGATGGTGACGCCTAGCAGCACTCTCAGGGCTTTTGGATATCTAAACAAGGGAGGACTTTACAAGTACATAACATGCATAAAATATATTACATTTACATATAATCTTATGGGCAGCCCATTTATTTTAATGTGCTGCCTACCACATCAAAAAGGATGCATATACTATTTCCGGCAGTGCACGGCAATGCACGTTAGTTTGTTGCTGCGTGTTGTACTCTGCTGTCCATGTGCGTTGGGATGCCATTCAGATTTAAAGCGATATATTAAACCTTCCTTTTTTTTATATTTGCTAAATGGATGCCCACCTATGCCTGAGGCTGTTGTTTTTCTTTAAATTCCTCGTTTTTAAGTGGGTCCCCACAGCGTTCTTCCTCCCCCCGCAGGCATCCGTGCACGCTCGTGCCCGCAGTGGCTGTGTGCGTCCATAGACGCACACAGCCCTGTGGTAGGCCACGCCACTTCTTTCTTTGATGGCTCCTCTGCAATAAGTATCCTCCCCCCTGCAACCAGGAAGTGCGGGGAACGGAGGATCGCTTTGGGACTGGCGGCGGGGACGTGCGTCGCTGACAGGCAGGTGTGGGGGGGGACTGACGGGAGAAAAATGTTCTGGGTGGTATTTACCGGAATGCAGAGAATGCATTAAGGTAAAAAAAAAAAGCCCAGACCTTAATACTACTTTTAAGTCCATTTAGAATGAATGGTACCACATCACACTAATGCTTATAACATGGCATGACTACACAATAGAGTGAATGGTCTCCATAGATTTTTTAATTTATGCAGAAACGTAATTTCTACTTTAAGTATTAAAAGCCACAATGTAATTATTTAGACGAAAAATAAAGGTCTAAAATTCAAAGGCAAACTATGGCTTCAGGCGTTACTACTCTTTTGGGTTCCATAAAAATAGCTGTTATTCTGTATCCTTGTTGTCATTTAAACTTTCTCTATTCGATTTTAGGGTAAATACCCTGAGACCGCTGTAGCATAAAAGTTGTTTGAGGAAAAATTACTAGAACTTTTCGAACTTTAACAAGTCTTGTATCTTTAGGTGGCTTCAACCAGATTCATATGCTGATCCACAGAAGACTTCCCTAATCCTTAATAAAGATGATATTAGATGTGGCTGGCCCACTACTATAACTGTACAGACAAAGGATCAGTATGGTGATGTTGTTCATGTGCCAAACATGAAGGTATGTTGAGCTATTAAAATTATTAAACTATTGTCTTTGCTTGCTTTGCAGTTCTTTCACGTGGCTCTCAGGCTATTTGAGACACAAATTCCAAGAATGAAAAATTTAGTGATCACTCTAAATGTCTTGAGATTTTTTTTGATATAGACACATTGCTTGAAATGATCTATATATAGCTTTAATGCACAGTGTAATCATTAAAATCTAGAATGCATTAGAATAGTTTTACTTGTTGGCAGAGCATGCCCTGGATACTTTGGTCAGGTTAGAACAGCGGTCACTAAATGACAGACTGTGATCTGGATACAAACCGTGTGGTGGTTCTGTTTGGACCGCAATCGCCGACCTGCACTAGGTTATAGCTGGCTGACAGTGGATTCACCAGCCCCCTCTGCTTCAGTCATTGCTTCCTAGGACTGCTGGCATGCTATCAAATAATGATGTCAGGCAAGCAGGGCCAGCTCGTCAATTTCAAGTGATTTGGGTGGCTGTGAAGCCACCCAGATCACCTGTAATAGGCTGCTATTGTGCTGCAAAAACACCCACCCTCACCATGGTTTTTGGGTCCCCTGCTCCTCTGGGGGGCCCGGGATCATGGAACATGTCAGGATGGAGAGTAGGAGCAGATCCGCTGCTCTGTGATCAGTGAAGCATAAAGCGCTTTCTGAATCAGAACAGTCAGGAGTCAGCTAAGTGCCGGGTAAACAGAAGATAAAGCACATTCCTGTGCTTTAATGTCTGTGTTGGAGGTACAGGAGAGTCATCAGGAGTCTAATAGACCCCTGATGTCTCCATAAAGAGAACCTGTCAACTCCAAATGCTGTCAGGGGCTTGTTAGTTAAAAAAAATACAAATAAATTAATATTTAATACCTATCCTGCCAACCCTGCCATCTGATTCGAATGAACACATGCATGTAAGGCATGTGTATGGGGGAGTTCTAACAACAACAAAAAAACAGGGCATTATGTTGGTACAGTGACCTTTCTGTCTGGACTGTGATTCAAACCTCTGCTCGATGCTTGCCGGACCTCCTTGTATTTTAATTCACTACCCCGGAGTTAGGATGGCCTGTTTCGTGTCACTATGTGAGAGGAGAGCTTGATTACTTTGATCTTTGAATTCAGTAAAAGGACCGAGATATTAACAGAATCTGCTGCAACCAATTTGCTACTTTTGGCTGAGATTATTTTTTTCCCTTTTTAAAAATAACCAAAATATAATTTGTATTTACTGCTGCTAGCTATTCAGCCTTCATTATTTATTTTTCATTTTGCACTTACATTAGAATTTATGTATCATGTGCAATGTACAGTATGTTCCTTCAAAATTGTGTTTTTTGGCTTAATTTCAGGTGGAGGTGAAAGCAGTTCCCGTTTCACAAAAGAAGACCTCTCTTCAACAAGAGCAGGTGAAAAAACTTCCTCGTATCCCAGGCAGTCCATCAACCTCCGCGTCTTCAGGCTCTGATATGACTTTTGGCGGCCTTTCTGCACCTAAGCTTGAAGCTTCCTATGAACCAATGATTGTAAAAGAAGCACGTTACATTGCCATTACCATGATGAAGGTGAGCGGCTTATTATGTGCCTTTCTTTAGGTGTATAACGTTTCCATACTAAAAAAATATATATATATATATATATATATATTATATTATTATTTATTTATTTTATTTTTTT